AGACACAGCCCACTGAGTTTCTTCCCGTATCGTCTGCGTGGGTCCCAATTACGATCCGGTGGTAGATTCTACGAAGCACTGCTCTTGCTGGGGCTAGTGTCAGCAAATTCTCTCAGGTTGAGCTCGTGAGCTGCCTTTTTTTAATGGGCGAACGAGCTCTCGGCCCACCTGACGTTAAGTATAAATAGGCGGGGTGGTGGTACCTACCCGTGCGGACTCACAAGAGGTCCTACCACCAGTAATTACGCAAATTATAGTTTTGCGGATTTTATTTTACCTGCGAGAAGATGGAATAGTTCCTTAAGCTCTCAGCGAATAGGTAGGGAAATAAAAAACACAAATATTGGACGTGCAGCAGAAAGCCACTATGCCGAAAGGAAATTGACAGAATACTTTAGTCCCATGTTTGTGAGCCTATGCGCCTATAAGATCTTTGTGGATCCTACAAATTTAAAATCCACAAAGCGTAAGTCCCGTGAGAAGATGACGAGACGATCTTGACACAAATGTGTCTATCGCACTCCTAAAAACGAATTTTGAAAAAGAAAATTTGAAACTTATTACACAACAAGAGATGAAACAATACAGAAGTTTTCGTTAAAATACTCTTTTCTCCAAACCATTTAGAACATACAAGCATTACTGTTTCGCTAGTATTTGCAGTCGCTCCGGTGATTTCATTCTGAAAAGCTTCACAAAACGACTGTTTAAAATTTTAATGATCACTTCGTTTGGTACGAACAATTCGTAGTGCAGAATAGTAATTAACATACGTACATATACGGTGCGAGGTTTTGGACGAACCAGAATCGGGATTAATTTGGATCGCGACATGTAAGCGCACTAGGTAAATGTTATTATTCGAAATGCTTGTTACATTTACACGGGGATTGTACGATTCGAATAGAACTCGTCGGTGATATGATCGTTCAACCGAAAGGATTCAATCAATTTCAGTCCACGTCCAGCTTTCTTTTTTTAATAATAGTACCTACTCGTAACTGGGAACAAATCACGCATGCTCATACGGCCGCAATTTATGAATCCCTGTGTTATGGGGTACTAGGACCTTATAAACATACTTATATATCGATGCTTGAAAAGCAAACGTTACTAAGCGACAATAACTGCTTTATACATAAATGATAGGCAATAACCATATTCGATACGCAAAAAAAAATTTTTTTTAGTTCTATTAAAATCATTTTAATCCTACAGCTGGATTCGTTAAAATATATTTTTTTTCAGGTATTTCAACTTTAAATTAGTCTACTGTAAAGTTCATGCATTGCCGCTTAGTCACGTTTGCCTTTCAAGCGTCGATATGTTTAAATATATATGTAGGTATATAATATGTAGATATTAAGCTCCCAGACGAATTTAGTGGTTGTAGGACGTCTTGTGAGTCCGCACGTGTAGGTCCCACCGGCCTGCCTATTTCTGCCGTGAAGCAGTAATGCGTTTCGGTTTGAAGGGCGGGGCAGCCGTTGTAACTATACTGAGATCTTAGAACTGATATCTCAAGGTGGGTGGCGCATTTACGTCGTAGATGTCTATGAGCTCCAGTAACCACTTAACACCAGGTGGGCTGTGAGGTCGTCCACCCATTAAGCAAAAAAAAAAAGCAAACAAACCTGTTCATCGCAAATTGTTTCCCCGATGTGGGAATCGACCCCACGACCCTCGGCACGAAAGGCAGGCCCGCTGACTACTGCACCACCGAGTCAGTTTTTGCCAGCATGGTTGACCTAGTTTTACTGGTAGAGCGTTTTGTGGCACCTTGCATAACACCGTCCTACTTATTTCTGCCGCGAAGCAGTAATGCTTTCTTGTTTGAATGCTGTTTGGGGATTAACGGCAAAGGGCAGATCTTCCACCGAGCGGGTGAGGTCACTCGGTAGATCGACGGTCCAAACATTGTTGTTCAAAACTTGTATACTTATACACATGTAAGCTTACCTTGAAAATGTCGTTGACGAAATTCAGGCATCTATAAAACTATCGCCACAACTGGAAAAGTCTTTGTTGAATAAACGCTGCTCTTATGTAATATTGTAACGGTGTAATAGTTATCGTGACGGGCTTATGATGCCGTTAGGCGCTGGTGACCGCTTAACACAAGTTTGCCCATGAGCTTGTTCCTCTTTTTTTTTTTGCTTAGATGGGTGGACGAGCCCATAGCCCACCTGGTGCTAAGTGGTCACTGGAGCCCATAGACATCTATAACGTAAATGCGCCATCCACCTTGAGATATAAGTCCTAAGGTCTCAGTATAGTTACAACGGCTGCCCCACCCTTCAAACCGAAACGCATTACTGCTTCACGGTAGAAATAGGCAGGGTGGTGGTACCTACCCGTGCGGACTCACAAGAGGTCCTACCAACAGTAAACCTTATATCCTCAGATCCTTATAACTATGTTACGGATTGGTCTTATTTCTGACCCGTTTTTTGTTATCGCTTTAAAACTACCTAAAATAGTTATAGTAAATTAGATGCTAGTAGATGTTTCGAAAGATTCTACAACTGAAAATTTAAAATTTAATTTCAGAATGACGTCAGACTCAGCGGCCATTTTACCGGAAGATGACGTCATTATCAATCAGCGGATGCTCGCACACGATCTGCACAAAGCCCTGATCAAGGTGTTCCTATGCAAAGGCAGCCAGTTAACTCAGAGTATGACTTCATCGCAAATTAATAATTTGCTAAAGGAATACAGTTATAGAGGCAGCGATTTGAGGTATATGTCGTCGAGGCGTCGCGATACTTACAGTTACAATTAGATTAATTATTTTCTTGAACTGTATCGTCGTTCAGAAGGATGTCAGATGTTTGGTCTTAGGGAAACGATTTTTCCCATTTCGAATATTGAATTCAAATGTATTTATTTGACAATATGTTTAGATATTATAATTAAGCAATAAAGTGACGACAAAATTCGATACCTCCAATGAACACTACTCTTAACTCCAAATTCGTAGGTTTACAGGAGGAGCGTTTAAACGAAAAAAGTTGATAAAATCTTTATTATTGCAGATATATTTATGGTTTTTTCTTGTGTAACTAGCTGATTTACTCTTGCTTCGAACCCCATCAATAATGATTCGTAATACTTTTAAAATAGTGAAGCGATTTGCGTGAAAAACGAAAATTTCAAAATTTTGAGTTAGAGTACCTATATAGTGTTCATTGGAGGCATCGAAATATAATGTGTAGCAAAACGTGATATTCAATTTCTCTTTACGATTGATACTGAGATTTATTATTTTATAAAACAGAAAATTATAAAACTGAATATAAATATGTAAAATAAACTGTATTAAATATTCAAACCAAATTGTAAGAACTAATTTCATCTTCATGTCAGTGTTTTTATGATTTTTATACATTTATTAAAAATATCAAGTCGTTTTACACACGGGTATTATTTAGTGATTGTGATTTAGAGGCTTAATCCTGATATAGATTATAACTTCATAGATTTGATATGATTTTTCACTGCAGCTTAAAAGTAGTTGTTATTATATACAAGCATTTTGTTAAACACATCTATAAAATTATACTCTATGTTGAAACATCAAAAACAAAAAAGATCCCATGAATGTTAATGTTGACGTTTATATCGAAGCTTATGTTACACAATGTTTTTGAATTTCAAGATTTATAATGATTTGATTCTAAACGAATAATGATCCTACTGAATCACAGCATTGTGAATTGTTGTCACGCTTAGATTTGTTAACTTGAAAAGTCGGATAAAAAATCCTTTGAAAGATTTGATAAAATTATTGTGCATTGTATAATAATTTCTACAAAATAGTCGGTAAATACCAAAAAGTAAATATAGTTTTATTATATTCTAATTCCATTATCAATTACGAAATAAATTTATTTTATAACCAAAATAGGCTTAGTGTGTTATTTTAAGTTATTATTTAGTATTCGCATATGATACAGAGAAATATGTTCTTATAAATAATAGGTTGGGGAAAAGTCTTTTCGGATTATGGTATGTATGAACTTGTAATAAAATCTCTTTGGCTGTACTATCTGTATCTGGCTGGTTTTGGTATCATTAAAAGTTTAAATTTTAAAGAAGATAATTCCAAATTCAAATTAGGAAAATGTGTGATTTTTATTTATTTTTCGTACTGTCAAGATGAGTGAATCTAATGAAGATTCGATACATTTTAAAATTTTACTACAAAAAATGTACACCTGTTTCGGTCTCTTCAGAATTATTTAAGCAGTGTCAGGTTAACATCACGAGAGGACTGCCAAAACCAACTGTCGCGGTATTTTGATCAGAAGCCCCAAAATTTCTATAGCAATGGGATCATGCCCCTACCTACAAGATGACAAAAAGTTATCGAACAAAATAGTACCTACATACTTTAGTTAAATGTAAATAAACTACATTAAAAAAATGTTGTAAATTTTCTTAAAAAATGCGAAGAAACTTTTTCCCTAACCAATTATTTACATATTATAGATTACTGCCATAAAGATAAACGGGGTATTTATTTCTTTTGGATAATAAACAAAAAAAGTTTTTGTAACGTTTTTTATTATCTACTGCTAAACTTTTCAAAATCATAGATAAATAAAAATTATAACGAAAATTATTATAATTTAAATCATTAGATCTGTCATCTGTCCATTAGGATCTGTGAAAGCATGTACAATATAATAATATAATCGCAGGCTATATTTAAAACCGAAACTTCGGTTTTGACGAACCATAGACGTTAATGAAGCTTTCTTTAACTTATTAATATAGAGGATGTACACGACCCGGTCTGTATGGCTGTTTCCGAGTCGTGTGATAATATTTTCTGCTGTCTGTTTGTGCGCTGGTAGAAGACGGCTGTTTCTTTCGATGGGTTTCGGCTTCTGTAGTGAGGTTTCACAGGTAACTGTCTGGTTCACTGGTAGCTGATTCACTGGTGGTTTTCTGACAACTGTACTATTGGAGAACTGCTGGTAACTGTTTCTGTCTTGCTGATGGTTCTTTGTCAGAGAGCTTCTGAGAACTGTTTCTGTCTTGATGATCTGCTGAGAACTGTTTCTGTCTTGATGTTTCTATGTCGGAGATTCGCTGAGAACTGTTTTTGCCTATAAATGGCCATCCTTTTATATTTATTTCAGTACCCCATCTCGCGACGCGCTATCGACGCGCCACTTTTGGAGGGTCCCTTGATCTGTATGTTACCGTAGTGAAAGCGCTCCACGAATTGTTCCTATTGGTCTATTCACATTCTCTGATCTGATACACTAACATATTGCATATTAAATAATTTAAGATTATACATTTTTGTTACATAATTACTTATTAACTATATTAATTCTATTTGTTTGATAAAACTATTTAAAATCGATTTCGTCCTGCACATTACTCCCGCCGTGCGAGTCCGTCGCATTTCTTCTCGGTGCAGGATGGTCGTCTTCTATGGGCAGGATCACTAGTTTTCGTATTGGTCTCCGTAGAACTCCCCCTTTGGTTCTGATATCTACGGTGCGCACCACGTTGTCGGGTCCTGGATACGTCGCGATCACTTTTCCTCGCACCCATGTGTTTCGTGGCAAGTTTTTGTCCACAAGCTGGACTAAATCTCCGTTTTTCATGGGGATGCCTCGGCCATGAGGCTCCCGCCGGTGCTGCAGCTCGGGGAGATACTCTCTAACCCACCTCGTCCAGAACAGATCAGCGAGTCGTTGTGCCGCTCTCCAACTGTTTCGCGTCAATGTGTCTCTTTCATCAAATGTCCCTGGTGTTGGTACTCGCCCCGGCCCGCCTAGTAGTAAGTGGTTCGGGGTTAGGGCTTCGGGGTCGTCCACGCTGACCGAAACGTGAGTCAAAGGCCGACTGTTTACCGTATATTCTATTTCAGCTAATAACGTCGAGAGCACTTCCTCCGTTGGACTTCGCTCATGGAGTGTTGCCGTTAACGCGACCTTTACCGAGCGCACCATCCTTTCCCAGGCACCTCCCATGAACGGTGCTCCGGGTGGGATGAATCTCCAGGAGATCGTTCTGTTCGCTGCTTCCTTTGCGGTTGCACCGTCGATGGCTCGGCGTAGTTCTCTGTCTGCTCCTTTTAAGTTGGTGCCGTTGTCCGACCATATCTGCGTCGGACAACCTCGTCGTGCTATCATTCTTCGGAGCGCCATTACCGCAGAGTGGGTGTTTAGTGATGCGGCTATTTCAAGATGTATGGCTCGTATTGTTAGACAAGTGAATATTGCTACGTATCGCTTTTGGTTGGTTCGTCCGACTGTGACTGTTAGCGGACCGAAGTAATCAACTCCCGTGAAAGTGAATGGTCTTTTGTGATGGGCTAGACGGCACGGTGGTAGATCTCCGGTCCTCGGGTACGACGGTATCTGTGTCTTCATTCTGCATTGTAGGCAATTGTTCACTATGGTGCGAGTCACTGGGCGTATACGCACTATCCAGTATTGCTGACGACACTCGTTAATTGTAGCTTCGACTCCAGCATGATGTAATCTGTGATGAATATATTTTATCCACAACTTAGTTGCGAGGTGGTTTCCGTCCAGGATCACCGGGCTCTTTATTTCTGTTGGTATTCGTTCTGCTGCTTCGATACGGCTTCGTATTCGTAGGTATCCGTTCTCATATACAATACTGAGTTTGTGGAGGCGGCTATTCTGGTTCACGCCTCCTCGTTGTTGGATGTCCTTGATTTCTTGAGCGAAGCTTTCTTCCTGTGTCGCGCGCATAAGCAGTTCCTCGGCCGTTTTCAATGTCTCAGCTGAGATCGGATGGTATTTTCTATCTTCCGTTTTGGTTTTAAAGGATTTCGGCGAAACCATTGTTCGTTGTTTACGTTCGACCCACGCGGGGTCTGCTTCTTTGTTTCTTTTGTTTTTTCTATGGTGTACCTGTTCTGTTCTGCGCCTACAAAGTTGTATAAACTGTAGGACTCTGGCTGTGGTGTATCGGAGTCTTTCCCAATTCGAGAACCGGGATACGTCTGGTAAACCTTCAGTTAGTCTGTTTTTAAGGTTGACGGCGATCGTGTGATGTATCTTTTCTTCGCCTGTCGGTTCTATTGTTGCTGTTGCTGATTCCGTAAGCCAGGATTCTTCTTGCTGGTGTAGGAATTCCGGTCCTCTGAACCATCTGTGTTCGTTGTCGAACGATATTGGCACGTCTCTAGTTGCGTCGTCGGCCACGTTATGCTTCGTGGGTACCCATCGCCACTCGTTTACTGTTGAACTATCTTCTATAGCAGCCAGGCGGTGGGCGACGTATGGTTTGTACGAGCGTGATCCCGTTCTTATCCATGTTAATACTGTCTTACTGTCGGTCCAGAAGGTCTTCGAATCCGGCTTTCTGTCGTGTTCCGCTATTACAGCTTCAGCGAGGCGTGCTCCGAGAGCGGCGGCTTGTAGTTCCAGTCTCGGTATAGAAGTGAGTTTCAGGGGCGCTACCTTTGCTTTGCTCATAATCAGTGACACGTCGATTCTATTATTCGGACTTATCGTTCGCCAGTATAGTGCTGCAGCGTAGGCGGATTCACTTGCGTCGGTGAAGACGTGTAGCTGTAATGTGGTCGTGTCGCTGTAGTTTAAGTAACATCTTGGGATGGCTATATTGTGCAGGTTTCTCAGCTGCTTCACCCAGGCCTGCCAGTGTGTCGACAGGTCGTTATCTATTTCATCGTCCCATGATGTTCCTCGCCGCCACACTTCTTGCAGAAGTTGTTTTGCTCTATTTGTGACTGGGGACACGAAGCCTAGCGGATCGAATAACGACATTACGACTTTTAGTGCTTCTCTCTTGGTCGGCGTCTTGCCTTCGACGAGCGGTGGAGGTATTCTTGTCAGATTGAGGTCGAAGGTAAGCACGTCCTTTTCTGTTTTCCATATGAGCCCGAGTACTCGTTCAGTTTTTTCTTCAGGCTTGTACAGTTCCACTTGATTTCCATTTTCGTTTTCACCAAGGGTTTCAAGTAGGCTCGGCGAGTTTGACTTCCACTGTTTTAATTCAAAATGAGCTTTTTCGTGTATTCGACGAACGTCTGTTGTTATGCGTACTGCATCTTTTAAAGTTTTAAAGCTGTCCAAGTAGTCGTCTACGTAGTGTTTGTTCTGTATTGCGGCTGCCGCCTCCGGGTGCGTGGCTTCATGTTTCTGGGCGTTCAAGTTCTTTACATATATTGCTGTGGAAGGAGAACTTGACGCACCAAAGATCAACGAGGTCATTCTGTATTCTTCTGGGGGCTTGTCATCTCGGCGATCTTTGCGCCAGAGATAGCGGAGCGCGTCTCTGTCTTCATGTCTCAATTTCACTTGCATGAACATCTCCTTGATGTCTGCTGTTACTGCTATATTATGCTGTCTAAATCGCATTATCACTCCTGGTAGTGATTGGAGTAGGTCCGGTCCCTTAAGCAGCATATCATTTAAAGCTACCCCTCTTGTTCTGGCGGCGGCGTCGTGGACGACTCGGAGTTTTTCCGGCTTCAGGGGGTTCACGACGGCGAAGTGAGGTAGATACCACGTTCTGTTCTCTGTTTTTGNAGCTACGGCGTTGGTCACCTTACTGGAGAATATACAAATGTCTCTTGGTGTTTCTGTTAGTCTTGGCAGAGCTCGTAGCGTGTCTAACTCCGTTATGGCTATCGTTTCCGGTCTTCCGAATCGCGCTTCTAGACTTCTTATGACGTCGGACGGATCAGCGTTCGTTATAAGTAATCCGTCAACGGCTTCCTTTGCCCTTCCTTTCAGGTTCCTTCTGAGTCTGTTTATATTTTCTGTTTTTGTAAATGAATTCATCGTCTCGTGATAGGCTGCACGAAAGGATAGCCAATCTTGGTGATTTCCATTAAAGAATGGCAATTCTGTGTATCTTGGTTCGCGGGCGGCTTTGACGGCGAGTGTTATTGCTGCGGTTAGATCTGAGAAGTCTTGTTTGTCGCAGGCTCCCGCCGGTGTTTCCTTATGTCGGTCGTGATTTTCCGTTTTTGTGGGTTGGGTTTCCAACCACGTGCCCACTCTTTCATCGAGTTCTGACTTACTGTATTCTGATTCGCTGTTTTCGTCATCAGATCCAGCTTCGAGCGTGGCCAGTCGGGCGGCTGCCAATTCCACCTGACGGCGGGCGAGCTCTTCTCTAGCTTTGGCTATCTTCTGTTCTTTTCTGTTTCGCGACCGGTCAGTTTTGACTGTACCGGCGCGCTGTTTTGTTGGCACGTCATTCTGTTTGACTATATACTGTTTGACGGCCTCTGTTTTTGAGTTCCCAGGTTTCTCTGCGAGTTTCGTCGTGGCTTGCGTGTTGGCTGTTGCGCACGATGATTCTGTTGTGGGGGCTACCAGACTCATGACGGTATTCGCAGTTGTTTCTGTCCACATGCTCTGTGTTGTAGCTGTGGTTTCTGAGGGCGGCGACTGTTTTGTTTCGATCCGTCCTCTTCCTGTTGACCGCGTTATCGGCATTGTTCCAGTTTCCTTTTCCAAACGTATCCTCTACCCGGCTCGAGAGAATAATGAAATGTGTCCTCTATCCGGCTCGAATGGACCATGAAATGTACACGACCCGGTCTGTATGGCTGTTTCCGAGTCGTGTAATAATGGTTTTTGCTGTCTGTTTGTGCGCTGGTAGAAGACGGCTGTTTCTTTCGATGGGTTTCGGCTTCTGTAGTGAGGTTTCACAGGTAACTGTCTGGTTCACTGGTGGTTTTCTGACAACTGTACTATTGGAGAACTGCTGGTAACTGTTTCTGTCTTGCTGATGGTTCTTTGTCAGAGAGCTTCTGAGAACTGTTTCTGTCTTGATGATCTGCTGAGAACTGTTTCTGTCTTGATGTTTCTATGTCGGAGATTCGCTGAGAACTGTTTTTGCCTATAAATGGCCATCCTTTTATATTTATTTCAGTACCTCATCTCGCGACGCGCTATCGACGCGCCACTTTTGGAGGGTCCCTTGATCTGTATGTTACCGTAGTGAAAGCGCTCCACGAATTGTTCCTATTGGTCTATTCACATTCTCTGATCTGATACACTAACATATTGCATATTAAATAATTTAAGATTATACATTTTTGTTACATAATTACTTATTAACTATATTAATTCTATTTGTTTGATAAAACTATTTAAAATCGATTTCGTCCTGCACAGAGGATATATCTTATGGGTTCCAGTAATTTTTAATAACACTACGTGTACGAAGAATCAGTGTCCATTATAAACTTGTAGTAATTTAAAACTAAAGTAAATTGTATCTTTATTTTATTTTGTCTCAAGAAATCAACACTAACACATAGTTCGCAATCTTAAATACTTGAACTAACTTGAACAAAGATATAATTTAATAAGCTATCGATATGATCTCACGTCTTACGTGCTCTTACCGAACCTTATCTTGTCTTATCTTATTTATGATAAGCTTATGAGGTAGAGTGTGAAAATGAAACAGTCGTCGTGGCCTAAGAGATAAGACGTCCGGTGCATTTGTGTTGAGCGATGCACCTGTGTTAGAATCCCAGGCGGGTACCAATTTTTGTAATGAATTACGTACTCAACAAATGTTCACGATTGACTTCCACGGTGAAGGAACAAAATCGTGTAATAACCCGCAAAATTATAATTTGCGTAATTACTGGTGGTAGGACCTCTTGTGAGTCCACGCGGGTAGGTACCACCGCCCTGCCAATTTCTGCCGTAAAGCAGTAATGCGTTTCGGTTTGAAAGTTGGGGCAGCCGTTGTAACTATACTGAGATCTTAGAACTTATATCTCAAGGTGGGTAGCACATTTACGTTGTAGATGTCCATGGGCTCCAGTAACCACTTAACATCAGGTGGGCTGTGAGCTGGTCCACCCATCTAAGCAAAAAAAAAAAACAGTCAACGTAATTTAAATTGTTATTCACATATCATATTATTATATGTAGTAGTATTACCGCGCTAACTTGTACGGAAACAATAAGCATAGACATAATAGTGAAATACATTTTTCCTCTGTTTACGATCTTTAGTGTGGATTATGACGTAAAAATTACTTTTTTTTTTTTTTTTTTTTTTTTTTTTCTTGAAA